CTCTTGGTTCTCCTGTGTCATCCTCCTCCACCGATTGGATTACAGGCGTGTGCCACCGTACCCAGCCTGGCCATCAGCATTTATTATTTATTGTGGGGGTTTTTGTTTCTGTTTTGCTTATTTGCTGAGGCTGGCTTCCAGTTTGTGATTGTCCTTCCCAAGTTGCTGGGATTACAGGCGTGCACCACACTCCTGGATTATTGTTTGTATTTGTGGTGACTGCCATTCTAACTGGAGTCAGATGAAGCCTCAGTGTAGTTTTGATATGCTTGCTGTTTGTATTTTTTTCTTTTGAGGAATATCTGTTAATTTCATTTGCCAATTTATTGTTTAGGTTGTTCGGTGTTTTTGTTTTGTTTTTAGTTCTTTATGTATTCTGGATATTAATCATTTGTCAGAAGAAGAGGAGTGTTGGTCCTGCACTTTATTGTAACAGTTGCARAGTTGACTTTTGTGCAAGATGAGAGATAGGATCTAGTTTCATTCATCTTATATGGCTTTCCAGTTTTCCCAGCACCATTTGTTTAAAAAACTGTCTTTTCTCCGGGGGGTGTTTGCGGCACCTTTGTCAAGAATCAGATGACTGTGCCTGTGGATTTGTCTCTCTGTCTTCTGTTTTATTCTTTTGTGTGTCTCTTATGCCAACACCATGCAGTTTTCATTACTGTAGCGGTATTTAAAGTGGAATATTGTGATGCCTCCAGCATTGCTTATTTTTTTTTGGCTTAGAACTGCTTTGGTGATAATGGGTCTTCCATTCTTCCAAATAAATTTTGAATTTTAAGACTGTTTTTTTTTTTTTTTTCCTAATCCCGTGAAGAACGTTATCAGTATTTCAGTGGGGATTGACTTGAAACCCTTTTGGTAATATGGCCATTTTAACAATATTAACTCTGCCTATCCATGAACATGGGAAGTTCTTCTGTATTCTAGTGACTTCCATTTTTTTCTTCAGTGCTTTATAATTTTTATCATACAGGTTTTGCACCTCCTTGGTTAGAGTTTTTCTTTTTTTAAGAGATTATTGTGGACCAGGGCTGTGGCTCAGTGGTAGAGCATTTACCTAGCATGCATGAGCACTGAGTTCGATTCCTGGCACCACATACAATAAACAAATAAACAAAAGATGTACTTTGTTAAAAAAGAAAGATAATTGTGAATGGAATTGTTTTTCTAATTTCCTTTTCAGCAAATTTGATATTTTTAAAAAATATTTTTTGTTGTAGATGGACACAATACCTTTATTTAGGTTTTTTTGTTTGTTTGTTTTTAATGTAGTACTGGGGATCAAACCCAATGCCTCACGCATGCTAGGCAAGCTCTACCACTGAGCCACAACCCCAGCCCTCAGCAAATTTGTTACTGAGGTAAGGGAAAGCTGTTGAGTTTTGCATGTTCATTTTGTATTCAGTTGTAGTTTTAAGATTATTTGTTTAAATTCTTTTTACTGCTGCTTTCCCCCCTCAAACCTARTTCAATATTTTAGATTCATCTTTAGAATATTAGTATCTTTAAGCTTTATTGTGCTTTCTTTTGAGGAGCTAGGTGGATGAACCCACTGAGTTACATCCCCAATTCATCACATGAACCCCCCTTTTTCCTTTATTTTTAAATTTTGAGACAGTCTCAATAAATTGCCCAGGGGGTGAATATGGAAAAGTTCTCAAAGTATTGAATAAGTATTTAAATTTGTYATTTCTAGCATGTGTTTTCTATTTTTACCTTAATCTTAGTTTTTCACTTACATATTTTAGAAATACATATTATTTAAAATAAGTGTTCACTTTAAGAAAGTGACTATTTGAATAAAAAGAACTGAGGTAAGAGAATGACCATGGAGTGAATGAGGAACAAAGCCTAGTGCAAATGATCTGGAAGTTTGTCTACCATACTGGAGAAAGGTAGCAAGGAACCAGAGTAACTGGTAGAGTGGGCTAGGTGAGTATCAGGAAATGAAGTTGAAGAGGTGGTAGAGGTGAAAGATAGTTTAGGGCCCTCTGCAAGAACCTGGGCTTTATTTTTTAGTTTTTTGAGATAGATTCTCACAAGGTTGCCAGGCTGGCCTTGAACTTGGGAGTTTCCTGCCTTTTAGCCTCTTAAGTAATTAGGATTATAGCATGTGCCACAGCACCTATCCAGGAACTTTGTCTTTGAATACTTTTTTTTTTTAGTTGTAGAGGGACACACAATATCTTTGTTTACTGATTTATTTTTTATGTGATGCTAGGCAAACACTCTATTAAATTTTGCCAGGTTTGGGGTTATCTTTTTCTAAAAGGACTATAGAAGCCTTTCTAATTTCTTTATGCCAGTACTATGTCAAAACTATTCATTTTTAGCTTAGAGAGCGAATATTTCTCCAGGTTAGCTTGTATAGACTTAAAAATTGACTACAGTTGATTGTTTCATTTGTAATAAATATATATAGCCAGTTTGACACATAACTAGTGCTTTTTTTGAAGAATTTTTAAAATTTTGTGGGTTTTTTCCCCTTCTTTCTCCTTACGACTAGTCTTTCAGCTATTCATATAGTAAATGGATTGTTTACCTGCTTCTGAGGGTGAATATGGAAACAAAGTTCTCAAAGTATTGAATAACTTTTTAAATTTGTCATTTCTAGCATGTGTTTTCTCTAATTTCTATTTTTACCTTAATCTTAGTTTTACTTTGGTATTCTTGCCATATTCTTTTTTTAAAAATTTTTTATACTTATACGTGGACACAATATCTTTATTTTATCTATTTATTTATTTATTTTATGTGGTGCTGAGGATCGAACCCAAGGTCTCACACATGCGAGTCGAGCACTCTACCACTGAGCCACAACCCAGCCCCTTGCCATATTCTTTTCGTACCCAAATGTGTTCACTTTTTACTTAAGGGATATGCCCTAGCCTTGAAATAATGTTATTGTCCCATATAGAGAGCTCATTGATGTCATGGGTCAGTTTATGAGGGGGGAAAAAAACCATATTGCTCTTTCAGTGGGTTTTTTTCTTATTTAGATATTTGGTATCTTAATCTTTTTCATATTCATAGTTTTGGTATGATTTTTAGATCCTAAAGATCTTCCCAAATCCTCCCATTTATCGATGATGTGATCTGGTTTTCATACCTGCAAACATATTCTCCTCTCTGACTCTCCAGAAAACCAGTTAAATAGGGTTGCACAGGATAATTTTTCCCAAAAACTGTAGAAATTAATATTGTCTACATAAAAATATCATATTTAGTTAGTGTCCTTTCCTTTCAGTGGCATCTACAATTGCTGGTTAACTAGAATCTTCATTTCATTTTGTCTATTCTAACCTTCAAGAGACCATCTTTGCTGGTCTGTGTGGTTGCTAGAAGGAGGCAGTTGGATGGAGAATGTTGTTAAAGATTCCATTCTTCTTAAATATTTACTTTTTCCTATACAAGTCCATAAAGGGAAGCCACTTTCAGAGAGTATGCTGGAAATGAATGCAGCTGCAGCAGATGTTTTTGCCAATAGAGATTTTGTGCTACATTTTTGTCTTTATTATGTTATTGCCTTTGATCCTGGGATCCCATCTCATAGTGCCATTCCCTAGGCAGGTTGTTTCTTCTAGGAGTGGTATTACCCAGATGATTTGGAGTTATGCTTTGGTAAATGCCATATTTATTCTTTATAATAACTACAGTATAGGGATCAACATGACTTCAACTTTTCTCCTCCAAGCCTAAGATGTTAAAGGCACTGGGGGGGGGGGTGTTTGTTTTTATTTTTGTTTTTAGCAGAATTAAGTTGTGGGGGAAGGGGGACATGATAATGGGGATTGAACCACTGAGCCACATCTCCAGGCTTCTTTTAATTTTTATTTTTAGTTACAGATGGACATAATACAATTGTTTTATTTTATTTTTTATGTGGTGCTGAGGATCAAACCCAATGCCTAACACATGCTCTACCACTGAAACACAACCCCAGTGCACCACCCCCCCCCCCTTTTAAAGCAGGGTCTATTGAGTTGCTCAGGGCCTTGAACTTGATCCTCCTGCCTCAGCCTCCAGAGTCACTGGAACTATAGGCATGCACCCTACACCCAGCTAGAATTAAGTCTTTTGAAGACTTAAATTAGTTCATATTTCATTCCAGACTTTGCTGGAGAGATTGTTTATTTTGCCCTCATATACAAAGGAAGCTTAATGAAAATAATTTCTGACCCCTTAGAATTAATACAAAGACTATGAATAAGAACACTCAGGATTCAAAATTTATTTTGATTATTTAAGCATGAATCTTTTAAAAAAAGTGGGTTTTAGGCTAGGTTAAAGAGAATTTAATGAATTACTTGTCTCCAGAAATATGCCACCTTGTATGGGATTACCTGAAAGTTTTAAGGAAGAAGTATAAAGACAAAAAGGATGTAGTTGGTAATTAAGGGCTTCCATGTGGATGAAGTTGCTAAAAAGAATAAATCCAAGTCCTGAGAATCTGGAGCCTACTACTCTCCTTGGTAGACAGTTAAACCATCAGGTGGTCCAGATGTGGCGGTGCATACCTGTAATACCAGCGACTGAGGAGACTAAGGCAGGAGGATTTCAAGTTTGAGGCCAGCCTTACAACTTAGCAAGGCACTGTCTCAAAATTTAAAAGGCTGGGAATGTAGTTAAGTACTAGAACACCCTGGTTTTGGCCCCCAGTAACACAAACACACAGAACTTCAGGTGGTGAAACTATGCAGATATTGTAAACTGTTTTCAGCACAATTTCAGTATCTTTTGAACTATTATGGGTTTGCTATCTAGGCAAACAATTAGGGTGCCAAATAATTGGATTTTATGAAAAGAAAGTTACCTTAATCACTTTGAAGGTCAATGTGTTCCAGAGACATGGAAATGACTTAACTAATCAAACATTCTCTTGGCAGTGTCATATCGCTGTCTGACAAGGTTTCCTGAATCTTTGGGATAATGAGTGGGAATCTTGGTTTTTTATCCAATGCTGAATTATCAGAATTTTGTTTGGCTTTTCACAGGTTCACCGGAACAGCACAATCCGCTCTGGCTGTGATGTGAATCCCTCCTGTGCACTGTGTGGTTCAGGCAGTGTCAACACCATGCTTCCTGAAATCCACTACGAAGCCCCTCTGTTGGAACGCCTTTCCCAGTTGGACTCTTGTGTTCACCCTGTGCTAGCATTTCCAGATGGTAAGAAAGACCACAGAATATAAAGTCTAATGAATGAGACTTAACAAAGGTTTCAGCTCAGGTACTCACTCTAAATGTACCACTTCCCATCAGTCTTCAAACTTTGCAGAAAGGGTGCAATAGATGCGCCAAACCAGTATGTGACACTAAAAAGATTGCAGCCTGCTAGGGAGTTTTCCCATTCACTGTTGAGTGGGAGTTGCCTGGGTTCAGTTGCCCCCAACCTCTAGTAATCTGGTTCTTTATAGCTTAGATTATCTTTAAAAATATGTTCTTTGTATGCACCATGATATAAAATAGAATGGGCAGCATTGTTCTTGTGAGTGTATTCATATTGGTGTGTATGTGAAGACATGACATCTTTCCAGTGTGTTCATCAGCATGGATCCTTAGTGTTGGCATGTATTGTTTTTCTGATATTTACCTGCCTCTGATAAGTTTCTGTGTCTATCAGTTCTCCTTTCCCACCTCCCTTTTCACATCTAGCTCCCTCCAGTATGATAAGACATGCATTCCTCTTGGCCATGTTGAGCCTCAGTGTGGTATGGGTCTTGTTCCAGAGAATATAAAACACAAAGACAACAAATAAAGGGAACATTTCTAAGAGTTCACAGCTCCTAAATAATAATCCCGGGATGGGATGTAGCTCAGTACCTCAAATTTGCAAAGCCCTGGGTTGACCCCCAGTTCTCCCTTCCCCCCAAAAAAAAAAACCGATAATAATTTTAATCCTGGAATTAAATTTACAAGATGGGTGTGGATATAGTTCAGTGCTAGGACATTTGTTTAAGCATGAGCAAGGCCCTGTATGCAAGCCCCAGTATCACTGCAGGGGTTTAGGTGGAGTGGCTAGTTTTTATTTAAAAAGAAAAGGAATGAAGCCAGTCATGGTGGCACACACCTATAATGCCAATAACACAAGAGGCTCATGCAGGAGAACTACAAGTTCGAGGCCAGACTGGGCAGCTGAGTGAAGACTCTGTCTCTAAGTAAAACTTAAAAAAGAAGCTGGTGATGAATATAATTACTGTGGAACACTCCTAGGTTCAATCCCCAGTGTGTGTGTACACACACACACACACACACACACACACACTCCAAACAAAAAACAAAAAATAAAATCAAGTTGGTGTAGACTATAATTTATAGTAAGTTTGTGTAAGTCAGATTTTGACCAAGGTCTTGGTGGACTAATGGCAGGTTCAACAGGAAGATTTTTTCCATCAATTAATGAAAGTAAATATATTTACTTGCCAAAGTATTAATAAAATGGTTTTAAAGCATTTGTAGTATTCTAGAATATACAACCTTTATTATAAACTATCTGAAGTGATCTTTTTTTAAAATTGCATTTTAAATAGTATACAAACAAAAATATATGGAAACCACTGCTCTGGATAGTGCTTTTGTAATCTGGTATGGATTCACTGACTTTCACATAATGTGCTCTCTAATCATCACCATGTTGGTTGTTTTTTGTTTTGTTTTGATTTTGGTCTTGTTTTGTTTGTGTTCTTTGTTTTTCAGTACTGGGGATTTGACCCAGGGCCTACACATGCTAGGCAAGTGCTATATTCACTGAGCTACATCCCCAACTCCATATTTATTTATATGCTAATGGCACATATTATGGCTATTTATTGTACTTTATCTTCTCGAGGATTCAGATCTGTGTTTTTCATGTCATCTTTCATAACATTTCACAATTAGATTGCACCTTTCTGAAAGGAGAATAACTGAAATAGGAGTCTGAAGAATGAGAAAAGATTGTAGGATTTATAAACTTTACATGATATGAGAAAAAACATGGAAACAAGTGGTTTATAAGCTTCAAAGGGCAGGTGGTAGATAAATATCTTAGGCTGTGCAGGCCGTATAATCAGTGTCAGTTTATGTCACAACTGCTCAACTGACATTTTTAGCACAAAAGCAGTTATGGACAAGATGTTAAAAAAGGGAGGCCAAGTAGTGTTCCAATAACTATTGGAACAGTGTTCCAATGACTATTTACAGCAATAGTCATTGCCAACCCCCATCCTTAAGAATTCCCCCTTGTAATTGTCATTTGATCATTAAAGAACTGTAATCTCCTGTTCTGTGTGTGTGCTTCAAATGACTGAATTCTTTCTTGGCTCCCAAATGCTGTAGCTACAAGGAGTTTTGGCTTTTGTTACCAAAATCCTCTTTGTCAAAAGGAAGTGGTATAATATTCCTGCTGCCACATGATGACTTGTAAGAGTAGGAAAATTCAGAAAACTTGGAGCACATGGATAGCAAGATGATAAGAACCATAATGAGTAGGAAATGCCTGAACATTTTCCTGTGAACTTCATATTCAAAAGTCATTCACTTGTCCCTTTAAATTATAGATATTACCATTTCCATTATTATTTGTATAGTATTTTATGGTTTAAAAAGCACTTTTCTCATATTTGTCTCATTTGCCTCTTTCCAAAGTCTTGTAATTTTATAGATCAAAGAATGCTTAGTGAGATGTGGTGGTTTATCCAAGACTAAATGGCTGTAGAATTCAAACTCGGAGTCAGCTAATGCCTCTCCTTCCTCTCACTATATTCTGTGTTCCTTCCCAGAGAAATTATTATGAAAAGTCAGATTTCTGCCCATTTCAAGATTCTGACTCCAAACAGCCTCCAAGAAAACTGGAAAGCATTTTCTTGAGTTATTCTTTGAATTAATTAATTTATTTATTTTTATTTTGGTACCAGGATTGAACCCAGGGGCACTTTAATACTGATCTATATCCCCAGCACTTTTTATTTTGAGACAGGCTTTCTGAGTTGCTAAGGCTGGCATCCTCCTACCTCAGCCTTCCAAGTCCCTGGGATTATAGGTATGGGCCACCATGCCAACTACTTTCTGAATTATAGTGTTGTATGGTCTCAAATTTGAAGACAAAAAAAAATCCAAAATTGTACTCAATGAAAATCCCCTAATAAGCATAGTAATCATTCCTTTGTCAGTAGTGTTACCATGTATAACAGCAAATATGCCTGAGCCACCTGCCTCACATCTCTCATGTATTTCATCACTTAGCATGCTATTAGGAGGAACTCGTTCCCTATTAATATTTTCTGCTCTACTTGCTACGTCATACCTATATGACTACCACCCTTCTGCCCTCCCTTATCCTTCACCATACCATTTCATTCCAAGCAGCAGAATAAAGAAAGAAAATATTTAGAGCACCTCTTTCTCTGATCTTTATCATTTTCTTGCCTCCAGATACTGCTTGTGTGTATGTTATTCCTCCCCTATCTGCTGTCTCCTTATATAAAACACACACACACACACCCCTCTCTCCTAACTATAAATCTGGGGTTGGACAAGAGAGTTGGCCAGCCATGTTCTATTTATGAAAGTATAAACAAAAACGTTTATAAATTTTGCCATCCTAAGTAGGATGCATGAACTATACTTGTCTATGACTTAGTTAGGTCTCCCCAGGTTATTTCACATAATTCTAATTATCCTATTTAACATTGTTCCTATTAGGATAATTTTGCTTTGATGTGAATAAATGCCATATTCAGAGCACAGTCTATTTGTAAATGAACGATTCCCAGAGCCATAGAGACGCCCAACTCCTGAGGGTACCACTCATTTATATATTATTTGAACAGTACCCACAAGACAGGGTTGTGCACATACGTAATCTCAGCAACTTAGGAGAGCAAGGTAAGAGGATCACATGTGTAAAACCAGCCTTAGCAACTTAACATGATACCCTGTCACCAAAAAAATAAAATAAAAAGCACTAGGGTTATGGCTCAGTGATAAAGTGCTCCTGGGTTTAATCCCAGTACCCACCCCCCCACCCCCAAAAAGCACCCCCCTGAAGTATTGGCATTCCCTGTGTTTCACTGTATAGCATTTAACTACACTGAAGACAACTCATCCTAGTACTGTGGTTCCAATTCTTGTGCACTAGACTTGACTACTGGTCTGCCCTTTTGTAGCCTCTTCTCTAGGAGATGTTTAAAAATGGCAGAATTTGGGGCTGGGGATGTGGCTCAAGCCGTAGCGCGCTTGCCTGGCATGCGTGCGGCCCGGGTTCGATTCTCAGCACCACATACAAACAAAAATGTTGTGTCCGCCGAAAACTAAAAAATAAATATTAAAAAATTCTCTCTCTCTCTCTTAAAAAAAAAATGGCAGAATTTCCAATTTTGTTTTTCTTAACAAGGTTAATTTTGATTCATTCTTTAATTCCCGTGATGGTTACATTCATATAAACCTCACATATAAATGGTTCCATTGAATTTCTAATCGCTCCATTCATTGGATATCTGTTGGGGTTTCTTCCTCAACATTTGGAATTGTTTAAATGTGATACTTAGCTATATTCTGTAGAGCTCTGTAACAAATTTTAAGCAGTTTTACAAATGCTTCCTAATCAGTTTGTGTGGTTGCTGTATCTCAGCCAGCTGCTATTCTGGCCTAGAGTTCTCTCTCTCAACCTTCAGTGCTCCATTCATTGCCGTTAAGGGCATCTAGATAAGAAATTTAATTGGATGGGGTGGCTTAGACATGGTATCTCAAGTCTGTAACCCCAGTCATGTGGGAGGCTGACAGGAGGATTGCAAGTTTGTGGCCAGCCTGGGCAATTTAGGGAGAACTTKTCTCCAGATAAAAGGGTTGGGGTGTACATCGATAGTATAGTCCCCTGGCTATGGAAGTTGGAGGAATAGAGTGTAATAGCCTCTTAGTATTCAAGCAGAAGTATTGTTTCTTTATCAACTTCCTTAGTAATTAATTCCTATTTAGAAATGTAGAGGATGTATAACCTTGGGGGAAACAATGTTAACTTTTAAGTTTGTAAAAAGGGGTTATTAACAGCATCATCTGCTGACCAGGAAGTTCTTTGCTGTTTTGAGAGTTGCCAAACTGGGCCTCTGAGGCTACTACAACTTCCCAGCAGGAGGAAGAAGTGAGCTTACAAAATAAGGCTTGTTTAAGAAAATGGTTCAAAGTAATGAGTGGAACTGTCCAGTGAATCATAGAATACCAGAACCTGGAAGACCTGCAGTCATGGTTTGATTTTGTTTGAGGAAATAGTAACTTAAGCTGGTTTTATTTTCCTATTAAGGAAACCTCTTCACTTAATAACACTTTAACCCCAGGTGCAGGTATAGAATGTGGGATGTCCTCTAGCTGCGTGGATCCCTGTTAAGTGTTTTTTTTTTTTTTTTCGTTTCATATTCTTTTCAGTTCCCTTCTCCAGCCTGTTTCAGTTTTTTTGTTTTGTTTTGTTTTTTGGTTCCTGAGATTGAACTCAAGTCAGGGGCACTCAACCACTGAGCCACATTCCTAGCCCTGTTTTGTATTTTATTTGGAGACAGGTCTCACTGAGTAGCTTAGCACCTTGCTTTTTTGCTGAGGCTAGCTTTGAACTCCCGATCTTCCTGCCTCAGCCTCCCCAGCTGCTGGGATTATAGGAACCACCATGCCTGATTCACATTTTTAACAATAGCTATTTGGATTTAACTTTTTTTTTTTTTTTTTTAAGAAGAATCTGAAATCTAGTCCATTGTTATTTTTAGTATGACCAGGCCTCTCATTTCCCTATGTACCCTTTTTTCACTGGCTTCATTTTCAGGTTTGGGAGAGTTGTGACTGGGGAAAAAAAATACCAAAATCACTGTGCTTTTGGTGTCCTGTTACATGTATACACACCTTTTGCCAAGTGGAGGTATTCATCTTCTGACAAAGGGGTATCTGGGCATATGCAGAAAGTGTCCTCTCCTTCCCTGAGCTTTCGTTATGCATTCAGGCTGGAGCCCAACTTTCAGACTGTTGTCCTACGCTGGGTACTTCTTAACAATGCTTTATTTCCCACACACCCCTTTCTCAGCCTGGTCTGAATTRGAACAAAGAACTTTTACCATCGATACTTCTAAATTTGATTCATGATTAATGTGTTATTTTCCTCACCCCTTTTTAATGTACAACTGATTTATTTTTAGGAATTGGTATAGGTGAGTTTGTTTTTATATGTAAATGAGAAAGAATTATTTTGGAAATTTTTTTCAGAAGATTGCACTGTTCTCAGTTATTGTCTTTTTTCTTTCTTTCTTTCTTTTTTAAAAGTATTGGGGCTTAAACCCAGGGGCACTTAACTACTTAACTACCAGAGCCATGTCTCTAGTCCTTTTTGAGATAGGGTCTCACTAAGTTGCTGAGGCTGGCCTCAAATTTGGATCCTTCTGCCTCAGCCTCCTGAGGTATAGGTATGCACCACCATGCCTGGCAGTGTTACTTTGTAACCTTAGACAGAGTTAATTCACCCTGATTTTGTTTCCTGTCTTCAAAATAAGCATAATGATGCTCACTTCATGAAATTGTTGAAAAGATTAGTGATACACACATAATATGCCTGTCACATAAGAATGGGTTCAGTAATGGTAATTTATTCGTCTCTTCCCTGACTCCCTATCCTGGTTCTAATTGAACACATCCTTTRTCCTTTCTGGGGGCCAAAACACCATAAACATTCAGAAACTACTCAGTAGAATAAGTGAACTTTCATTGAATTTTGAAAGATGGAATTTTTCTGACAAGAAAACCAGAGAAATAATATAGGGGAAAATATAGCCCAAACGGCCTGCAGGAATAAGCTCCTGTGTAGTGGGAGCTGCTTAAAGCAGTTTCTTTATCTAGACTTAAAGAGCATAGATTAGATAGAACCTGAGCAGTTGTGTCAATTTGGAATGAGTTGAATTTCCCTTCTCATACCCCTTTCACACTGAAGCAGTGACTAGTATGGACTCTAGTAGGGTTGGATTTATTATTATATATATTATTGCTATGTTGGGAGCTGAACCCAGGAGCACTGTATCACTAAGCTACAAGCCTAGCCCTTTTTATTTTTTCCTTTGACACAGAGCCTCACTGAGTTGCCTAGGCTAGTCTCAAACTTGATCCTCTTGCTTCAGTCTCCTGAGTCACTGGGATCACAGGCATGTGCCTCCATGCTCTGCAAGGGTTGGAATTTTGTAGTGTTTCATGGATCATTACTTGATTTCCTAGGGGAACAGGGGCCCAAAAAGAAATATTCTGGCCTTTAGATTAAAATGATCCTGGAAAGCTTTCCAGAACCCTAAAAAAAGACTCAGACCTATGTAGCCATGGTGGTGAAATATCAGAATGTTGCAAAAACATAACAAGGAAAATCTAAACTGGACATGGTAGTGCGCAACTATAATCCCTGCTATTTAGGAGGCTGAGGCAAGAGGATCACTAGTTTCAGGTTAGCCTAGGCAATTTTCCAAGATCCTATCTCAAAATAAAAAGGTCTGGGCGTGTAGCTTAGTGGTAGATCTCCTTGGAATTCTATCCCTAGTACCATAGAAAAAGAAATCTTAAAGTTGCATATTGTCACTAGAGTTCAAGAATAATGGGTCAAATTAAATAAAAGGACTAAGTAAAAAAAATAATCTCTTTACTGATACAGGGAAAATTTTATGGAATAACACAAAGGCATAAAGAGTTTAACGGGATCATCAAAACTACCAAATACTTTGTAGAGAAAATAAAAGAAAAATCTAAATAAATAGAGAAAGATAACATGTTGACATTTAGAAATTCAGTATTTATGGCAGAACAAATGACTGTTATCCCCACATTGAACTGGAGTATCATTAGGTGTTTTGTTGTTTGGTTTTAATTTTTCACAAAAGCTTAAAAGACAAAACTCAGACCACCTGCTAAATAAGAATCAGATTCTCTCTGATGTATAACACTGGATGTAGAATACCATGGAAGAATAGCTTTCAAGGTCAGAGAGGAAAGTAATTTTAAGTCCAGAAATTCCTGAAGGGACCTATTGGGAAATTGAAATTAATCTAGAGCTGGGTGCTGTGGCTTGCACCTACAATCCCAGCTGCTCAGAAGGCTGAGAGATCACTGGAGCCCAGGAGGTTGTGACCAGCTGAGCAGTGTAGCAAGACCCACCCCCGTCTTGGGGGGGGGGGCATCTAAAGAATGAAAAGATAAAAAAATAATAGTGAAGAGTGCTCATTTCGGCAGCACATAAACTAAAACTGGAATGATTCCGAGAATATTAATGTGGCCCCTGTGCAAGGATGATACACAATTTCATGAAGCATTTCGTACTTAAAAATATATACGTAGTGAGAAAAAGTTAAAGATTATAATTAAGTTCAAAAGATAATTGATTTGTGGTGTATAACACTTAACTGCTCAGCTAAAAAATAACCTAGGTAACCAAGGTGGTAGAAGGTGAGGAGGCTACAAAGGAAGGAAAGTATTACGTATTTCTTATTTGGAGGAAAGGTAATATAGTACTCCCTATAGTGCTTGGCAACACTGTCCTCCCTCTTCCCACCCTCACCCCCACTTCTTCTAATACAGGGGGCTGGGGATCAAACCCGGGGCTTCTTGTATGCTAGGCAAATAGTACCATTGAGCTACGTCCCCAGTCCTTTTTTTTTTTTTTTTTTTTGAGACGGGTTGTCACTAAGTTTTCCAGGCTAGCCCCAAACTGGGTATTATCCTGCCTTCCAAGTAGCCCCCTTGTAGAATCTTTCTTTTTTAGCGGGGGGTGAGGTGGGATTGAGGTACCCAGTATTGAACTCAGTCAGGGGCACTCGATCACTGAGCCACATCCGCAGCTCTTTTGTATTTTATTTAGAGATAGGGTCTAACTGATAAGCCTACACTGACAGAAGATAGCAGGTTTTAGTCTCTAGAAGAATAGAAAAGGGTGTTCATCTATCTGTTAAACCAGTAAAGACAGTAGATTTAGAGAAATGCATCCTTGAGGGGGGACTCCATCAGTCTAATAAAAGGTGAAGTAATGTGCTTATAAGTAGAGGGACTATGTTTACCAAGGTTTTCATAGATGGATCTTCTATCTGACAGCTTCTGCTTGTCAAGTCCAGGAGAGTCAGTGGTGAACACCTATCACTTCAGGAAAGAGGAGCCCAGAGATCAGGTGTTTGGACTTACTTGCAGTGTTCTTTGTTTCTTGCAGATGTTCCCTCAAGCCTGCACTTCCAGAGCATGCTAAAGTCTCAATGGCAGAACAAGCCTTTTGACAAAATCAAACCTCCCAAAAAGTTCTCACTTAAGCACAGAGCACCCATGCCAGGCAATCTGCCGGATCCAACTCGTAAAGACAGGCACAAGTTGGTCAACTCCTTCCTGACAACAGCCAGTAAGTTTCAGAGAACTGGGGAGTCCTCCAGAGTCCTAGTTATTTTTCATTCTTTTATGTTCTCAAGTTACTGGTTTGCCATGCCAGTGTGTTAGGTAAGGCAGTTGTATCATAGTCTACTACTTCTGCTTGTCTTCAATGTTCTTAGATGGATTTTGGAAGCTATTCCAAACACCATGGATCATGGGGAAGACCCAAAGTGTCCATTGAACAGTTGGCAGTGACATAGCATTGCATCCACCTGTCGGCAATGATATGTCTTTTGTAGCCTAGTGTCACATTTCTCTGGTTATGGATTCCCTATGCCTGTCCTAGCCATTGTGCTATTTACTAGAGGCTTCAGTCCCAAAGGACTTTCTTGCTGCCCTGAGTATATAACATTGACCTAGAGAGAACTTAAGGGCTCAAATAAAAGATTTGAGAGAAGGTGTTTCACAGCTCTTTCTCTGTTCCCCTCTTCAGAGCTGTCCCATCACCAAACCCGGCCTGACAGGACCCACAGGCAGCACTTAGACGATGTGGGGGCTGTGCCCATGGTGGAGCGAGTGACAGCGCCAAAAGCAGAGCGCTTGCTCAACCCACCGCCACCCGTGCATGACCCAAACCACAGCAAAATGAGATTGCGAGACCATTCATCTGAGAGAAGTGAAGGTAGGGCCAGGCCCGGCACCTCTACCTGCATTTGCACCTGCTCAGGGCTTTCTGGGGCAGCCCAGGCTTCTCTTAATTGCCCGCCAGCTTTGTCCTTTGCCTTCTAGGAAGGCTGAGTAGGGGGGCACTACTGCTTCTAAATGCAGGTCACTTCTTACCGCTGCAGCAACCTCTGCCAATTCCCCTACCTCCCATCACCAAGTTTGCTTCACCTTTTTATCCTCTAGGCTTAGAAAGCATTTTTACCTTTCATGCATATTGCTGGTGTTCTTTAGTGTGTATTTAGAAGAGAAGCTTGTTAAGATAGTTATGTACTCCTTTCTTTTCTGTTGACTTCTGCAGTGTTGAAGCATCACACAGATGTGAACAGTTCAAGCTACTTGGCTGCTGCCCACCATCCACCACACAGTCCCTTGGTGCGACAGCTTTCCACCTCGTCAGACAGCTCCGCACCCACCAGCTCTGGCTCACAAGTTACAGCCAGTGCTTCCGTAAGTACCTGTGTGTATTTGGCTGGGCATCTTCTGCAGGTTGCCCCTCATGCACGTGTCTCTGGGGTATATTATAGAGGGTAAGTTATGAAGCCCAGGACATTCGTGGTAACTCATTTTTAAGCCATAGTGGTGGTACTTAATCTGTTATTTTTCATAGTAGAGTTGGATCTCTGCTGAGCCACCCACAGGAAGCTTGATACTGAAGTAGACTATTAAGGTGATCTCTGACTGCTCAAGATTTGTGAAACTAAGCTTCAGACAGAAGTCTATAGTACCATGGCCTTAACTCTCTTGGCCCAAGAAGTGAGAGGAGGGAGATGGGCTTTGGAGATAGCTGTTGATTTCCTTATTTCTGTTCTTACAGTGAATGGAGGTTACTTCCAGTGAAAACTGGGTGTGAAGTATTGGAAAGGAAGGGAGTAGGCAGAGAGTCCCATGTTTTTTTTTTTTTTAGTTGGAGAGAACAGAACTACAAATTCAGCAGGTCACTGTGGTTACGTCCACATAGTACATTCATAATGGCAGCCCATTTAAGGCACTCCTTCCCCTCACCCCATCAACTTTGACAGTACCACATTCCATCCATCAAGCTGTTTGTAGCCATTTCAAACATTCTCATTAATTTTGTTTTAATATTATCATCTCTCAAGCTGCACTCCCTTGAACACATACACTTGTAGCTGATTTGTATCCATTAGAGTCCTTCATATAATAATTTCGATAACAATTATAACAGTAATAATAAAACTCTAGAACACTAATGTTTATTGTACACTTATGCCAGTGCTAAGTGTTTGATGTGTGTCATCCCTTTTAATCCGATAATAAATACCCTTTGAGATGTAGGTGGTTTTATGAATTCACATGTTTTGGGCATGAAAACTAAGGCTTTCCAATGTTAAGTAAATTGCATAAAGTGAGGCAGCTTGTGAAGGGTTATAATTGTGATTCAAACCCCAACAGTGTGACTGCAGAGCCAGCTTTCTCACCATGACAGTACACAGTCTAAGGGTGGAGGCATTACGGAGGTGACTTAGAAAGAAAGCTCTTACAGAGCTTAGATCAAGAAACTTCTAAGCTCACAAAATGTGCTCCCTAGGCTCCTATCATCAGGTAGGAATTCACATTGTTCTCTTTGCTTTTACGAATCAGACCATCTTTTTCAAGAGGGCTTCTTACTACTTCCCCTTCTTCACCTCACACATTCAATTATTCACCAGCATAGGGTTTCAGATAATCAAAGAATTTAGAAGTCTCATTGTGATAGAAAATATAAGCTATTAAGATCTGGGACTTGTTGAATATATCAGGCTTCCTGAGTCTGAAAAAATGTTAATCTGGGCCTGGATGCTTTGGAATTTTTACTTAATTTTGGCATATAGATTTTTTTTCATATTTATTTTTTAGTTATAGGTGGGCACAATATTTTTTAATTTTATTTTTATGTGGTGCTGAGAATCGAACCCAGTGCCTTACGCATGCTAGGCGAGTGCTCTACCACTGAGCCCCAGCCCCAGCCCTGGCATATAGATTTTTGTGTATAGCACTCTGGTGACCCTTAATGCTTTCATTCCTATTCAGTGAATATGGATTTATGTAATAGTAAGCAGAGTGATTGGCCAATTATTCAGAGAAAGACTGGATTACACTGGAGAAATCATGGTGGGAGCAGGGTATTTGTGGTAGTGCTTTGCCAGAGTCATTGGTTGCAGTAGAATCACTTTAGTGGCTTTAAAAATATATATTTTTACCACAGCCAACCAACCTACCTACTTTCCTTCTCTCCTTTCTTGTTTTCTGATGTACAACTAGGTATAGGAACCACTTACTGTTCTCATTGCCTGCTCCCTACCTCTGGCTCTAAATAGGAGAGCGCAGTTAAGTTAGATCAAAAGAAGCTGTCAGAATGGGGGGGTCTAGGACAAAGATGAGAGGTAGAAGTTGTTCTTGGACAGTTCCACAAGCCATTTTGCCTGGAAGGTACAAATAGCAGGCCCAGAAAGATTTGAGGAAAATACATACCTGTTTTCCAGCAGTTTCACATTCTTGACCAAGGTACGGAGAAGGTTGAATCTCCTAAGGCACCCTTTCTTTGCGTTCTTTTGTGGGACATGGATGGAACTTGAACAGAGATGTGGCAGTAGCTAAAGCTTTTGTGTATGAGGTCACTGATCCTTAGCTGTAGAACCCATCCAGTCCAGATTTGCAGAAAATCTTTCAACCATTTTGGCTAAGCAGTTGCTGTAAATTTGTGAATTTATTGACAAGTCTAGTTGAGTTGATAGAGAAGGAGATAGAAGTGGAAAAGACTTTGTGGTTACCTGAAATCATAAATGACAGCAGCTGAAATCCTGGTCCGGGAAGTGCTAATTTTTAATATTCCCTGAAAATGATCTAAGATGATGGGGTGAATAAACTGTACATCACTTTCCAAGAACTGAGGATAGTTGTAGTTAGTTGTAGGGGAAATTCTGACCCTCCTTATCTTCTTTTACAAGCCCCTCCTCTGAGGCTTGGCCACACTCAGTGGTTTGGGTGTGAATGTAGCCTCTTAGATGTTTCCAGATGTATTGTTGCCATGGCAGCATGTTTGTCATCCCACTGTTTCCCTCACAGCTCAGTAAACAGTCTGTTTCAGGATAAGGTATATGCTGTATGGACAGAAGCAGCTAGTAGACTTTCTCTTCCATCAAAGAAACCAGGCCAGTTGGCTCCCTACTTCATTCCTTCCTCATCTCTCAGCTACAGTAGATACCCACCTCTGCCTCTGAAATTGGATCCTTGGAAGTCTTGTTTCCCTAAGGGTTTGATCTTCTTCACTTCCCATCAGAGCACATTTCTTTCTTCAGGAATGGGAGTTGTGGATACTTCCTCCTCTTAAGTTTCCCTCATCTCAGTGATGCAACTGGAAGGCTCTAGGCTCTTTCTCCAAGAATAATAGGGGAAATTACCCAAGAGCCAAGCAGGTGGTGGGTGCAGATTTATCTAAAGAGTTCAGATTATCAAGAGGAGAATGCTTTCATAACAACCAAGGTGAGATGGTCTGTTGAGAGGGCCTACCCTTGGAGCGTCTTTCAGAGTAAGAGAACTCAGTATTTGTAACCCAGAAGTCATCACTAAGCATAAACATTGCCATTTAGGARCTAAGTGATAGGATTCAGGAATAAAAGAGGGGAGTAGGGATTTTTAAAGGAGGGTGTTAATAGAGTTTTTATAGAGGAATAAAAACTTCAACAGCTGACCTAAAACCCCTGAATATTCACCTCTATAAAATTCAACAAATCTCTTCACATGAGCTCATGAAGGAAAAGGGGGCTAGGGGGGCAATATGAGTGAAAGTTACTCCTTGGGACCATCTGGTGTTTCCCCAAGGACTCTGTTCTTGGAGACAGTTTCCTAGGGGTGAGCCATGGCATTCACTACAGAGTTCTGTCTAAGGACCCAAATGCCTGATTATTGGTGATCCTGCTTATATCTTAAATGAATGATTTAACGTTTGTAAAATTGTCTCTCTCTTAAAACATAACCTTTGTCTTAACAGCAGCCAATAAGGAGGAGAAGGGGAGAGAGCTCGTTTGACATTAATAACATTGTCATCCCAATGTCTGTTGCTGCAACAACTCGAGTAGAGAAACTACAATACAAGGAAATCCTTACTCCCAGGTAGAAGCCTTGAATAATCAGCTCCTCTCCCTTCTATTATTGCCCTTTTCCCCTCTTCTCTTCTGACCGACCTTTGGGTTCTGTCTTCTCTCTTAATCTCCCTCTCCTCACCTCCCCCCCACCCCCCTTGCTTGCCATATTAGGAATAGGACCCAGGGCCTCAAAACTGTTAGGCAAGCACATCCCCAGTCCCTTTTTTTTTTTTTAATTTTATTTTGAGACATGGTCTTACTAAAGTTGCCCAGGCTGGCTTGGAACTTGATATCCTCCTGCCTCAGCTCCTAAAGTATGTGGGATTATAAGCATGTGCCACTGAGTCCACGGGGTGTTCTGTCTTCTCTTTAAATGAAAGTCTTACCTAGGAAGTGAAATTGTTTCTCTATATAATTTTCTCTTGTTACTTTATATGACCAGAGATCACGGCYTGGCAGGCCACTGACCATGATTAGCATATAAGCATGTTTTATTAAAATACTGAATTTGTTTTCAAATTCAAGGCAGAATTATTTACAATTTTTGTTGATTTTATCTGTTACTTACATTCTCATAATGGTACCAGTCCTGAATAGTGTTTGTCCCCTTTAAAGAGATTCCCTTGCTTTGGTTTGTTAGTCTGTCATCCCCAACCCCAGCTTGCTGCATGTGTTTCTGGCCTTTGTGGGTATTTGAATATGAGGACTTTTTTTTCTTTTTTTTTTTTTTTTTGAGGTCTCAGGGTTACAGAGGATGAGCTGTGATAGGGCTCATCCTGCAGCCTGCCTACCATCTAATGGGACTTTTTTTTCCTTCTTGGTTTTGCAGCTGGCGGGAGGTTGATCTTCAATCTCTGAAGGGGAGTCCTGATGAGGAGAATGAGGAGGTAATGGCATGGTCATACTCTCTTAGAAGAAAACACACTCTTGGGTACACATATTCAAGATGCCTCAAGACCTGTGGGTGTCAAGTGAAAGCTCCGTGTATACCTGTCCTGTCCAGGAAGAACCTAGAAAGGGGTGGGACTGGTTCTAGAATTGCTATATCCATACTTAAACTCAGCTTCCTGGGGGAAAGAGAGACTCAATGAAGCTGTTGTGTTGCAGATTGAGGACCTATCTGATGCAGCCTTCGCCGCCCTGCATGCCAAATGTGAGGAGATGGAGAGGGCACGGTGGCTGTGGACCACAAGTATGCCACCCCAGCGGCGGGGCAGCAGGTAATGGGGTAGGCACAGGTTCCCAGGGCCTGTGGAGGGAGGGTGCTGGATAGGGAGTTTGGGCCCTGCCTGGGTCCACAGAATTGCCAGTGCACAGGATTGTTTGCTTTTCATATCATCTATTGACAATGTCCTAGAATTAATTACAAGTTTCTAGTATTTGTTGGAACTAGGAGAGGAATGACTAAGTCAAATGCTACATTCTTGCTGAGTAGTCCCTGTCTGGTTCTCATAAATTATTGTGATTGCCTATGGCTATTGAAGGCCAGTCATGGTGATTGAGCTGAAGGAGTTTTGAAGGCCTCACCACAAGTTAACCCTCTTTGAGTTAGTTCTCTGAAGTGGGAAACCACAGTTCACTATCTCACACATCACTATCCTGTTTCCATTTATCTGAGTTTGGACTAAATTCCCTATTCCCGTGAATTCACTATGTGCTCTGCCAGGGATTAGCCCTGGGCATTGTTTAGCCCTGACTTTCTCAGGATGATAGATGTACATAGTTCTCAGATGTTATGTTTTCTATCTCCTACTCTGGGCAGTAGTAGAATGAAGCGAGATTTGCTAAATCTGAAGAAAACACGCTGGTATCAGTCAGCATCAGTGTCTGTTGATAGGGATGCTTTTTTCATACGTCCTCCTCATCCCTCACCCACCCAGAAATACACAGACAAGAACTCCTCCATTAGCCTACACTCACAGCTGCGTTCCTTGGTGTACAGGTCTTACAGGTCATCAGACGGCCGGACCACCCCACAGTTGGGCAGTGCCAACCCCTCCACTCCACAGCCCGCCTCCCCTGATGTCAGTAGTAGCCATTCTCTGTCAGAGTTATCCCACAGTCAGTCTCCTAGGAGCCCCATTAGCCCAGAACTGCACTCGGCACCTCTCACCCCTATGGCTCGGGACACTCTGCGACACTTAGCCAGCGAAGACACCCGTTGTTCCACACCAGAGCTGGGATTGGATGAACAGGTGAGGTATACCACCTTTGCCTGGGGTTGGCAAAGTGGCGGGTGGAATTGGGAAGGGGTAGTACCTGCAGAAAATGAATCTTTTTTATGATTCCTTCTCCCCATTTGGAGGTAKGATCATGCACTTCAAATTGATTTTCTGCATGTACAAGGGAATTGTACCAGCCATTGTTAAATGAGTGCCCACCCTGTGAAGGGTCTTCTGAATTGGCTCAGAAAATCCAAATAGACTGGTCATGGGCTTCAGACCACAAGTTTTGGGGCAGGAAGCTGGCTTGGGTCCTCACCAGAGCAAATTGTCTGCCCACAGTCTGTCCAGCCATGGGAGCGACGAACCTTCCCCCTGCCATACAGTCCCCAGGCAGAGTGTGAGGACCAGCTGGATGCACAGGAACGGGCAGCCCGCTGCACTCGCCGCACCTCAGGCAGCAAGACTGGTCGGGAATTAGAGGTGGCACCCACCTCGCCTCCCATTGTCCCCCTCAAGAGTCGGCATCTGGCAGCAACGGTCACAGCTCAGCGCCCAACTCACAGATGAGCTGGAGATGAGAATCTAAACAGACTCACTAACTATTGGCATTAAAGCTTCAGAAATCTCTGCGTTTGATATTCAAACATCATATGCCGGAAATTTTCACAGTTTTTAGTGAATTTAAGGAATTTAGATCCTCCTTTGGTATTTTTTTTCCCTCATTTTGATTTTTGTTTTGTTTCTGTTTCCATGTTTTCTTGTCACCCACCTGAGCACTTCCTCTAGTTGGCAGACAAGTTCAGGATAAGACCCTGCTGGCCTGGTCCTGGTACATCCTCTGCACTGTTGAATCACTGGACTTAGCAATGTTAGATGATCACCCCTCTCCTTCATACCTGTGGGCAGGGTAGAAAAGCCAAAGGGCAGAGGGGATGGAAAGCTCCAGTTCAGCATGGCCTTTTAGTTTAGGATGGGACAGAACAAGGGCATTCTGGGCTCTTACTCCCCTTCCCTCCCATCTGTGGCTTGGCTAAGCTCTAGTGTTTCTGGCGGGTCCCCCTACCCCCACTTTGGTTTTCTGTGCTGGAGAACCCCATCAGAGCCTCTTTGCCATAATTGCCAGCTGTTCTCACTGAGCTCTCAGCCACCAGGATGGCTCCCCCTTGTCACCCAGGTCTTCAAGACCTGTTTTCAGTTTCACCTGCATTTGGTCATCTCTTTCTTGACTCCTTAACTGCAGTAACCTGGCTGCGGCTGCTCAGGTTCCCCCATCCTGCCCCTTCCTGCCCTTCCTCGTCTGCTCCCCATGCCATGCACACACCCACACACATCAGTCCTTCCATGTTGGCCTGGTCTGTGAAGGTAGGGTCTCCTTAACCTCATCCCCACTCCCCTACAAACTAGGAGATTGGGGATGGGAGCAGCCATCTCCCCTGTATAATTTTGCTTTCACTGACTGGTTCACTTTGTCATGTTTCCTTCACCTCTATTTCCCTGTCAGTGTCAATTAGACTCTTCCTCTTTCACGCTCCCCTTGCCTGTGGAACATTGTCTGGACCTAGCTGTGGTTTTCATCACTCCCCATCACCCTCCTTTGTTAACCTTGTGCCTGTCTCATGTGTAATCACATCACCAAAAAGGGGGCGGGGGGGAAGGACTTTTTTTTTCTGCCATTTTGTAATCGTATAAAAATTATAGGCAAAACTGCTTAATGGTTGGGGTTTTTTCACAATTTTCAACATTAGTGATTTTTTTTTTCTGTTTGCAAGTTAAAGGGTTTGTCATTGTTTCTTTAAACAACAATAATGCACCATATCCCTATGCATAAAGTGCTTCTTCTATTTATAAGGTTGAAAATTCTGAATAACCCTTTTAGCATTGTAAAAAAAAAAAAAAGAAAACAAAACAAAAACAAAAAAAACCCAAAAAACAAAAATTTAAAAAAAACTTGTATTTTGTAAATATTTTCTTTTCCTGCTTTGAGCTGTGTAATGGCAGCGAAACATGTAGCTGTCTTTGTTCTATAGAAATGCTTTTCTTCAGAGAAGCTGATCTTTGTTAATGTCTTGATTCTGTTCGCAAAGCACAGACTAGTGCTTAAAAAAAAGGAAGGAAAAATGAAAAAAATAATAAAAAAAAAAGAGTTACAGAATGTTGGGTGTCAGCCCTTTATTGACCTACGAGACTTTGGTGTCCATGGCARTGATGGTAGCTCTGGAGGCAGCTCTGCTGGAGCCAGACTTTGGGGGGTCTGGCTGGCTCTGAACCTTGGAGACCTTTGTCTTCTGGGAGCATGGCAGGTTCATGTGATGGTCATAAGAGAGGACGTGATGGTTTTCACTGAGATGAGGGGTACCAGGAGGAGAGAGGCCAGCACAAGACTGTCTGCTCTTACTGAATGAAAGCAGTCCATCTGTGGCCTCTCAGTGTTCTTTCTCTAGTGAGGCCAGCACTGTATGTATCTAAATCTAAATTGTTCTTTAATGAAGATTTTACTTTTCACCATTTAACTTTTCTGGAGTTGGGAGTCAATGAGAATATGTATAATTTTAATGGTACCTGGATTGTTTCTTTGGCCTGCAACATATTTCTCCTGAGGAGATTTCCTTTGTAGAAGACAAATGAGTGGGTGGACCCAGTTCTCTCTCTCTCTCTCCTGTTTTCCATAGCAGTGAAGCCAGAACAGCAAATGAGGCTGCAATCATGGCTCTGAAAGCAGTCATTCTGAGAGCATCCCTTGTTAGCTAGCTGGTGCTGCTGCTTTAGTTGGAGTTAAGATCTGCTTGACTGAAGTAGCTCCCAGCAGTATCATGACCTTGACATGATTACTAAGGAATAATATGGTGAGTTAATCCACAATAAGGTTCCAAAGGAAAGAAGACAGCTATGTGTGTAAACCTGTAAGGGATCTAAGCCATTCATTCAGATAAATGACTTATTTTCTGCTTTAGCCTCAAGTCTCTAGACTAATCTCAGGTTCAAGTGCACTGGCATGGGTCTTAATGCTTTAGTATGGTATTGTGAGTTTAATGGGTATTCATTGCCCATTTGAGTTGGTCAGAAAGGTTTGCCAGAACTAGAATGAAAGCATCAACTGAGAATGAATAAGTATGGATTCTCTTTTCACCTTCAGGTCCCCAGAAAGAGCTGTTAAGCCTCATGTCCAGCTTTTAACAAAATGGTCATTTCTTGTTCTAAGTTTAAGTGTGAAAAAGAACTTGGGAGTCATACATTCTGTATAATTTTCTTGTCCTTGGAATCCATGAGCCAGAGATCTTATTTAATCAGAGTAATAACTTTATTTCCAAATTCACTTTTACAGCAACAGTCAGTGTAAATCATTTGTTAAAACACACAATACACTATATGGACATTCACAGACATGAAGCTAAGCTAAAATGATTTTATGTCCCTCCCCCCACCCTCAAAATTACCAAAGAAGTTATGGGACTTGCAAGTGCCAGAAATCATCCTGCCCAGCACAGCAGATTCATGGGCTAAGTCCATTAGGAGGTGAGACGCTGGGTCAGTGCCCAGGGTAACCCTTTCCAAAGGTGGAGAGAAGTTGGGAGGCTCATGAAGCCACAGACCTATAGCTGATAACCACCTCTTTCCTCTGTCCCCAACTCTTGTTTTATTTCAGGAACAAAGACAAGGGAAATAAAGGAAGAGATAGCTGCTAGAAGTTCAGCCCAGTGGGAGAGGTGACACTGAGGTGCCAATAGCTTAGAGGAAAGATGCCAGGGTCTTGGGGAGGTAAGATTGTGGATTCAGAACTCCACCAAAGTGTAGCAGCAGCAGGCCAGAGCAACAGGATCTCCAGTTCCTACACAAGCCTTATAACTGGCCGGGAAGGGTTGGAAAACTAGCTAGCTGCCTCTGCAACTGGGAAACCCTTTCAGAACAGCACAGCCCCATGGCCTCAAGCCCATGGCACCCCCCTCCCTGTAAGTGTGGTTGAAATTATGAAAAGGGCTTCAAGGCAACCTAATTGCACACTCCAAACCTTCCCTTTGCCCATATGAACTGTCTTACATGGTCCTCCCCCTCCCCCCATGGCACAGCAAGCAATCATAAACAGGATGCAGTCTCACCACAGAAGTCAGTTTAAATGGAACTATTGATAAAGTGAATCGAGAGCTTGAATGAACCAGGCATATAGTATATCCTATCTAGCCCACCCAGGGACATTGGCTATGGAGGTGGGACAAATGGAGGGAGAGGGGAGTGCCCAGCCCTGGGAGGATTGTCCTCATTAAAATGATAGGTAGTTACCTATCAGCACTGAACTGATCACTCAAAACCATGATGTTTAGGCTGACCCCAATAACCCATCCCACGAGGGAGATTGCCGAGCTCTCCACGGTGCTGAAGAGCAGGGCGTGAAGAACAGCAGGAGGACAAGAGGCGCAAGAAAAAACAGCTGAAATCGGTGGCAGTGATGAAGGGTCATATATCTTTAAACCACACTTTCTATCCGAGAGTCAGGACAGTAGGAAACCTCACTGTGGAAAGTTAGACCCAGATAATTTGCATGAGCAGCCCTGCCCACCCAGCCCCAGGATTGCCTTTATCTGTACCCAAATTGGAAGCAGCTGAGTATCCACAAAGGCAGCTTCCTTTTTTCCACTGCAACAGGGGCATGGAAAGAAATGGTGTTTTCTAGCTAGTTCCCCTTCCTCTGTCAGTATAGCCCAGGACCCCTTGGAGCCTGTCCAGGCTGGCAGCAATCCATCTCAGTCCCTACTGATGTGGAGGCCCAGGCTGTCCCTCATGAGGGCCCAGACCAAGGGTAGAGCTTCTGGGGGCTACAGCTCTCTCTCCACCTGAGGCTGTCACCAGAGAGGACCATCTCCATGCTGCAAATCAGGCCAGCCACAGCCTGCCCTGACAAGAAAGCCTGAGAGACAGAGGGAGGCACCATGTTTCTGTCCTAGCCCTGTGCCTCCGGCCCTCTTCACAGCTGACAGCCCTCAGGTGTCAGAATCTGGTCTCTGTTGGGTCCCAGATGCTGAAGAAATCCTTTCAAAACTTAGGTGGCCCCTGCAGGGTACAGCTACACCTGCCTGTGTGAGGGTGAGAGACATCCAGGACCCTCATGAGGGTGGGCTAGAAGCCTCTTTACACGCGTTTTGAGATGCATGCGTCCGTTTTTTTGTTTTTTCTTTCTTTTCTTTTTTTTTTTTCTTTTTTCTTTTTTTTTTTTTTTTACACTCACTATCTTAGTCACTCTTGTGAATCCAAACAGACAAATCCTACTACAAAGCAACAGGGTGCAGACGGGGGAGGGAAGGGCAACATCTATGTATATGTCCAGCTGCTCCAGCAGATCAAACAGCATTGCTTTCAACTGGGACTAGGGAAAAGAATCATTTCCGAGGGGCATGTTCCCTGCTTGAGGGTGTGGAGGGCTGATTCCATGCACATGGAGTTGAACGGTATGGCTGGGCTCTGGGAGACTGGCAGTTAAGCTGGGGTGGAAGTGAGGGACAGAGAGTGTGGCCCTGCCCTGGGAGTCACCTGCCCATCCTTGTGTTATTACTAGCAACCAGGACATCCTACCTCCTGCTACCAGCTCAACACAGGAAGGTAACCAGGCCTATCAGACAAGTCAACAAGGAAGGCAAAGACATCTAGGGTCATGGCCAACCCCACCCTGGTTCACACCAGTTGGGTCAGTGGGACTTAGAGCAAGATAATGAATTCCAGCCCTTGTGCCTGGACTTTGCCCTCCCTTGATTTTACCCTTAGTGTAGAGTAGGTGCAGCCAGCATTTAACCAGTGTCCATGACTGGGGATTGGGGGAGGCTGGGCACTCGGGACAGTGACATAATGAGGGGTACGGCAGTGATTGGGCTCTCACGGCAGACACACGAGTACAGAGAGACAGGCAGAGGGGGCTGCAGTGGCCATGGAAAGGATGGGAGGCTCAGGACCCACCTCCCAAATACTACCCCCCACCCCACACACTCCATGGATGCCGGAGGCCCAGGCTTGGGAACAGGAGGATGTCCCCCAAGAGGCACAAGTCCTTACAAAGAGAACTGGTTAGCCCTAAAGTCCCAGATCTGTGAGGTGGCCAAAATCGTGGCTGCAGTTCCAACCTTCAGAACTCAGTGAATCGGGGCCTTTGGGCCCAAGGCCCCTCAGCTCCGGACCCCCCCCCCCACCTGCAGGGAGGAGAGCCAGCGCTCTGGGACGGCAGGGTCAGTCTTCTCCAAGGAAGTAATCCAGGGTGCCACCCTCCCGCCCACCTTCCTTCTGTTCAGTGCCTCTTCTCCCACAGGCCACCTTCCAGAGGGGGCAGCAGACCCCGGGTCAAGAAGCAGCACAGGCCGCCCCACCCGGCCCCTCGCCCCTCTCTGCCCCACACCGCACCCTAGGTTGACATCCTCGGCCTGGGGCTGCAGCTCACCAGGTTTCCCATCCTTCATTGCTGCCGCTGTCCCTGTGACACCCTCAGATGGGGTTCGAGGCGGCGGGCGCCCCAGTCCCTTAAATTGCCCGGAAGCAGCTCTCAGAGCCTCTCCTTCGCCCTCTTCTACTCAGAGGGGAAAAAAAAAGAATCGAAAGGAATTGCCCACGGAAATGTTGGTGTGGCCATGTTTTTACATGTTTGTGTGTGTGGGTTTTGTTTTTTGAAAAATATTTTATTGTTAGCCCACCAATCAATTTGGAAAGATGAAATTTGCTCTTATTCCCATCACTGATTTTGAAGTCCCGAGCCAAAGCCGAGCCACAAAAGCAGGTTAGGTGACGACCTGGTTGACCCGTCTGTGAGGAGCAGYGGGGGAGGGCAGAGGGCGAGGGGCCAGATCATTATTCTTTTTTTTTCCACACTCTCTCACTCTCTCTTCTCTCCACGATTTTTGAGTGCCCCGGGGGCCTGATCACAAACCCTGCTTGGCCAGGGAGGCGGACACTTCGTCGGCTAGCGTGGCGAGCTGGGGCGAGTCCACCATGTTGATGCTACCGGTGGAGGAAACGTTGCTGAGGTGCCTGGGAGACGTGTCCCCGGACACCACCGGCGACTTGTACACGATTTCTGCCCCGTGGTCCGTCTTGGCTTTGGCATTCTCTCGGAAGGTCAGCTTGTGGGTTTCGATCTGCAAGGAGAGGCAGGGTGTGACAAAGTGCCAAGGAGAGAAGGACAGGCCCTGAAGACCCCACCACCACCAGGGACTGGCCTTGCCTTCCAACTGGCAGTGTTTGTACCAACAGTCCTTTCCTCACCTGCTTCTCCAGACACAATAACCAGAGTGTTTCTTGTGTACCTTCCAGAGATGTCCCACACATATACAAATGGGTGCCAGAGTCCAAACATACATGTGTGTTCAGCAGCTATGGTAACAATATACACATGCTTTGCACTTTGATTTTCAAACTCACTTCCTTCTGCTATCAGGACATACTGCTCAGCACATCAACACAGCAGAGGGACCAAAACTCACTCCCCAGCATATGGCCATTTAGGAGCTTCCAGTCTTTTTCAGAAGCCCAGAGTGCTAGGGCTTCGTTTATGCAGAAGAACATTCGAATAATCTTGAGTGACCTTGTACACACATCATTTTACACTCATATAAGTGTCTCCACTTCTGTCTCCTAGAAGTGGAGACGCTAAGTCAAAAGATAGGTTTCTCCCTTGTGCTGGGGATGGAACCCAGGGCTTTGTGCTTGACAAGCATGGGCTCTACCACTGAGCCCCACACTGCCCCCCACATTATGTTCTGCTAGATTATCACCAACTTGCAAGTAAAGGTGTTGAAGGAGAAGCTTCAGAAAGTCAAGGGCTATCTCCAGAGCCACCTATGCCAGCCTGGAGCTTCACAAACGCCTTCCCAGTGCCAGGGWCTGATGAGTCTGAGGTGGCAGCAACTATGGGCAACTCTCCTTGGTACGCTAGAAGAAATGACGAGATGACACCCTTCCTAAAGGGACAGCAACAAAACCAGGAGTCCCAAGGATACCAGGAAATTCAGAAGTAGGAAGTTTTAGCTGGAAATATGAGTTTGCATAATATTCTCTCCTGATTTACTCAAAGTAGACAACACCATAACTCCATCTTATGTTGGGTCCCAGACTCTTTGAGTATCTGCTGAAGCAAGAAAAATGTGAACACATGTGCTCCCACACACAGTGCCTCCTTTCCACGCAATTTCAGGCGTCCATGAAAACCCAAGTGAAGAGCCTGATTTCAGCGGTTTGAATGTGAGTATAGATAAAAGCCAGACTCCCATTCAGGATAGGTGCATATGWCATTCGTTTGGGGTCACTGTTTTGAAAAGAGGACCCTTTCATACTACTATACTTGAAAGGTTATTTGAGAAAAGCTGTGATAAGAACTTTTATGTTAATTTTTTTTTTCCTGTGGTGCTGACAGTAGAACCCAGGGCCTTTCTCATACTAGGAAAACGTTGTGCCTCTGAGCTACACCCCCAGTAGCAATTAATTGTTTTTATTGTTGCTGTTTGTAAGTGCTGTTTCTTTTAAAAAATTAAAAAATAGGACAGATTCCTGGGAATGTCCCAAAATCCCGCAAATTGAAAGAAACTCATGAGGCTGGTCATGTGCTCTGCTCCCTGTTTGCAATTTTGTTATAGTAGAGAAATGGGGGACTGAATCAGAAGAGGATCCCCTGGGATAAGGACAGTGTGTTCTGAGCAGATGCAGGGCCCTGCCCACCCTTTCTGGGCCATCACAGAGTTGAATTAGAAACAGGAGTTGAGAAACTTGGCTTAGACGTGGCTCCTGCAAGTCACCAAGCCCCTTCCAGACGCATGCTCATTTGGGGCTCACAAACTCCCCAGGATTTGTGTATTTCCATCCTGTCTTGCTAAAGGAGAAATTGAGGCTGAAAATCTTTGGGTCTTGCCTCAATCACAACAGACTTCCAGAGTTAAGCCCAGAACTTACCCCAGGGCACAGAAGTTTCCAGAGACTGGTGGAAGCCTTCTTTAACCCAGAGGATCTCTAATGCCCAGGCCTGTCCCAGATCCACTGAGTCAGATTCTGGGGAGACGCCAGGCCTGATGACCACCAAAGTACCTTAACCTAGAGCAAGTGGGGAAAGTCCCATAATTTGGTGATGTTCCCATAACTTGTTCCTTGTGTACCAGGGCTGACCTGGGGGATGGMTACTTGCTTTTGTGGGTGTTTATGAACCCCAGGGCCTGGCACAGTGGTTCTCACCTTTGCACTAAAAAATCATCTGAGAGGGACTGTGGTTGTGGCTCAGTGGTAGTGCGCTTGCCTCACATGTGTGAGGCCTTGTGTTCGATTCTAGGCACCACATAAAAATAAATAAAATAAAGGTACTGTGTCCATCTACAACTAAAATATATATTTAAAAAAAATAATTGGAGAGCTGTTATTAAAAAACCTCTTCTACCCAGTTGCACTTGAATAATTAGCATCTTCAGGTCTCAAATTTGATAGAACTCCCACGTGACTGCAAGGGGCAGCTAAGGTCTAGACCCGATGTCCTGGATGCTGCTAAGACAGTCCAGGCAAAATCCCTTGCTTTCCACCTTTAGAAAACTAGACAAGCCTTGACCAGGCAATGAACACCCATATCCAAATGTGGCCYCCTTCCTGCCCTTCCCCTTACCTTCTTATTTCCTCCTCCAGGGACATGAGTGATATTATCCAGAGACCCAATCTTCGACTGGACTCTATCCTTGAAGTCCAGCTTCTCAGATTTTACTTCCACCTGGCCACCTCCTGGAACACAACACACACAGCAGCCTCTTGCCATCTCTCCCTGTGGTTTAGTAGACTAAGCATCCACTGAATGAGAGCTGCAGTCTGTGGAGCCAAATGCCAGGGGCTGCTGGGGCACCGCAAATTTAAGTGAGACCCCAGGGCTCTGAAGGGGAGCCCTTGATGACAGGACAGCACCGGGACTCCAAGGGGGACCGAGCCAGTGATTCAGGGAGAGTTGTTGAGATTCTCCTTTGTTTAGAATGTGTTTGGGTAAAAGTACATCCTTGCAAAGAGCTTGAAAACATTGCATCATCTCTCTAATCAAGGTGTAYATCAAATATTTACTATGAAAACTCTTCTTCCTTAGATAATGCAAAGGTAAATGACAGCTCAGTTGGGGAGAAACTATGCTAACTTCTAAATTGGTTGACTTCCAAAAAGTGAGATCTTCCCATATCAATATCCTGTAAACCACAGCCCTGAGAGATCTCAGAATCAAATTAAATGTCAACATGCACACTAAGAAAGGAAAGACCCCAATCCTTTCTCCCTCCTTGACCCTTTCTTTATCTTTTTTCAGGGAACAAAAGATTGAATCCAGGAGTGTTTTACTCCTAAGCTACATCTCCAACCCTTTTATCTTTTAGACAGAGTCTTGCTAAATTGTCTAGGCTGGTGTCGAACTTGTGATCCTCCTGYCTCAGCCTCCCAAGTTGCTAGAATTACAGGAATGCACCATGGCACCCAGCCCTCCTTGACCCTTTATGCCAAGCCCAAGAGTGGGAGACAGGGCACGAGGATTTCTTGAGGAGGATGAAGACAGCCACTCACAGCACATGAGGATGGTGGCCCCAGGTGTGCCGTAGCACAGTTTTCTCTGATACTCAACTCCTACAAAGTGTCCAGGGAGCCAGAAAAAAAAAAAATATCAGACATGTTCTGGTCCAAATTGACTTTCTCTTTCCAGTAAAGACCTCTGCTCCAGATAGAGCCTGAGGAAAGCAGAAGTCCCTGTTGTGGACTGTCATGTGCCATTTGGAATCTATGCTGCAGACACCGTGGGGCACACACGCCAGAAATCCCAGGGCCTTGGGAGGCTGGAGGATCATAAGTTCGCCTCGGCAATTTAGTGAGACCTTTGGCAACTTAGTGGGACACTGTCTTAAAATAAGAATGGCTAGGGATGTACCTCAGTGGTAGGGCACCTTGGGTTCAACCCCCACTACCAAAAAAATATCTATACCTGTGCTGTTCAATATGGTCACCGCTGACTGACTGCTGCTATTTACATTTTAATTAAATAAAATTATTTCAGTTCTTCAATTGCATTAGCCCCATTTCAAGTGCTCAATAGCCTCATGTGGTTACTGGCTACATTGGACAGCACAGGTGTACATTTCTGTTACTCCAGAGAGATGAAGGGTGCACTGATCTCCTTACAGTGTGGGATGGGAGGGAGAGTAGGATGGGGGCTCTCCAGTGGCCTCGTTTTCTATTTAAACAAAGTCACAGCAAGGGCATGGCAATAGCCCAGGGGTCTCATGTTGTAGCTGATGCCGGTGGTGAAGTATCCCCCATGTTGGCTGGGAACCAAGCTAGGCCATCCATATAGCTGGCCTTCAGGGGCACCCTAAAAGCACCGCATACAAACTGCTGGAGAGTCAGTCACAGGTTGGGACTCAGGACCAGCATCCCCCCTCCCTCCATGCCTTATTTTGGCCAACAAGGCCCTGCTCAGGAGCAGCTGGGGCATCCACGCCTCCCAGGTCCCAGCAAGTTCCACACTAACACTCTCCTGCAGGACCCAGGCAACAAATCCTTCCTAGCGCTCTGCCCCTCCCAGCCCGACCCCAGGCCCTTCCCATCCCAGAGGGCTACCTGGTTTATGATGGATGTTGCCTAAGGAGCCGCACTTGGAGGTCACCTTGCTTAGGTCCACTGGTTTGTAGACTATTTGCACCTGGAAGTGAGAAAGAGCGAGAGAGAGAGAGAGAGAGAGAGAGAGAGAGAGAGAGAGAGAGAGAGAGAGAGAGAAGGAGAATAAAGAGGGATTATTTTATTATGGGTGTGACAATGGAAAGCATCTGTGTGAGCCTGGGCCGCTGGGTCAGTGGTTCCCATCTGCATTAGGAACACACCCAGTCAGGGTGGAAAAATGAGTTGTTGTTGAAATTTGGCCAGTTCTGCCCCAAGGGAGCTGGGTCCTGATGGACTAACTGTGGGGTTGCAGCCTCTGCAATCCTTGCAGAACAAAGACCCTCAGAGAAACGGGGGGACTCTCGGTCATTGTGCAGGGCCACCCTGGTTATTTAGCAAACAGTTAAATGTAAAAACATTACTCCCTTGCTGACAGGAGCCTGACAGGCCACATCCAGTGGGGGCGTAAAGGAAGAAGGGATCAATGTGATCTGTATTTGCAGCTTTGCAAAACCTGCTTGGGGAGGCCAGAGTGCGGGGTGAGCGGGCCCCCTGGGAGAAGAGGCTGCACGAGGACTGAGGGTGGGCTCCATTCTGGGACGCTTCCACAGAGGCCAGCACCCCCAACAGAACAGAGACGGTCAGCAGGTGAGACCCAGTGGGACTCAATGACTCCGGGTAAGAACTAGCTGGTGCCTGAGCACATGTGTCCAGGACGCTTCAGCCTCTACCAAGAGGAAGAAGGCAACACCAATAGGACAGGCAGGCACACAGCAAAATCCACACACCCGAGTGCCTTGGCAAGTGCGGGCAGACTCGACACGGGGGGCCTGCGGGCTCAGAGCCAGCCTTGCTGCCAACCCCCCCATGGGAAACGATGCCCCTCAGCTACCCCTGATCTCAGCTCCCCCAGGGACCCTGGGATGGGGTCTCCTGAAGGCAAGTCTCTAGTAAAGCCATAGCTTAGAGGGGCCTGGTGGCAGGTCACTCACTGGCTGATAACTTCCCCAAGTCCTGAGGCTCCCACGGAGACCCTCTTGGAGGTCACCTGGGGGCACAGGAGGCTCACCTGCACACTCTGGGAGGAGGAGGCCTTGTGTGTGAGAATAACAGAGAAAAGGAGGGGCTTTTCCTTAGGTCTAAATAAAACAATCCCAGTAATCTGACTTCAAAGTCGCCTGGCCTTTGCTGTTTGCTGAGGGGCTGAGGAAGACAGGAATGTGCACAGGAAGGGGCAGCAGCCTGCACCTGTGGAGGCGGGCCGAGGGATGAACACGGTAAGGACCATCTTCAAACAGCCCGAGCTCTGGGGCGGACCCTGAAGGAGGTGGACAGGGGCATCGGGCTCTCCTCCCTCGAGGGAGGCCCGGGCCTCACTCCCTTCCAGCTGGCTGGCCTGGGTGAGGTCCCTTGTGAGAGGGAGCCAGGGTGGTGCAGAGCAGGAGATGCTGGAACCTGGAGTGGCCAGAAGAAAAAGGGACAGATGAAGGGGGGGGCCCTGGGCAGGTGGTCAGTGAAACTGGGGCCACCAGAGGAGAGGTGGGGAGGAGAGCAGCCTTGGAGAGGAGCCCAGAGCCTAGCCAAGAGGCAGGGGCATCCCAAGATGGAGGAGCAGGGCCTCCCTGCTGGGAAGCCCTTCCAAGCTGGGGAGGGCCAGGGAGCAAGCCAGAGATGGGGCTTGCCAGGGACACAGTACTCCAAAATGCCACAGGCTGCCAGTGTGCGGGTGACTCCAACAGCTTCACCAGAAAAGAGTACTGAGGTTCCTCCCAAAGCCAACAGTGGCCACTGGCCAAGGACAGCGCTCCTGGTCAGCCTGGACTAGCTTGTGGTTCCATGTAAGGTGGCAGGCTAGCCCGTGGGCTGGCACAGTGCAAGACACACAGGAGGAAGTCCCCTGGTGTCCTGGGCTCTGCAGCTTCTTTGAGCAACCACTGGTCACCAGAGGATGTGAGCCACGCGGCCCCTGGGCTGCCTTCCCAGCTTCCCCTCCAGGAGTATCTGCCTCTGCAGCCCAGGAGCCCAGAGATTTGTCAATCTGGGAAGCACATGGCCTTCCTCCTCTGGCCAGGGTGGCAGTGCCAGAGAGGTCACAGCCAGAATTCCTCAAACAGCAGCTGGGCAGGGGCCCAGGAACAAGCACCTGCGACGGGGTGGGAGTGGAGGACAGAGGGACACTTAGCAGACACTGGTGAGGAAGCGTTAGTGAGGCCCCATGCGCAGCCACAGAGGCCTCAGAGGCAGGAGGCAGGGTCCAGGTGCTGGGGCAGCAGGGGCGCAGCACATTGCAAGAATAAACCCTCTGGGCTGGACCGACTGGAGGAGGACCTTCCTGGGGGCTCCTGACACTGCCAGCCAGGAGCAAGGTGCTTCCCCCAGAGACCAAGCCCCTCCGGAGTGGTGGGGCCTCAGGGATCTCAAACCTCCAGCTCCCCAGGGGTAGGTTTGGAGAGTGTGCAGGGAGCCGGGGAGAGCACACAGGAGTCCAGCCAGGAGGGTGACAGTGTCTCTGAGCCCACGGAGGGAGGATGGGAAGTGAGGATCAGAGTCCAGTATCCCACAGGGACACACCCATGAGGATACAAGGTGTCCCCAGGGGCGTTTGGAGGCAGCCACATTGAGAAGGGCCCTAAGAGCAGTTCTCCCTCTGTCAAATGGCCAAATGACTGCAGACAGGACCACCTGTGGGGCTTTCCTTTGGCTCTTTGCCTCTAGAGTCTGGCTAAAGGTGGAGCTGGGTTTAAGTCTAAGCTGGGAGATTTAGGAACTGGCCCGTCCCAGAAGATGCAGGACAGCCAACCAGGCAGTTTGGACTTCCTTGCCCTTGAGGTAGGATGGTGAGTCCTCTGTGTCCACTTGTCAGAACAAATGGGCCACCTGCCCACAGTGGAGCTACCTAAAGTGAAACTGCCCAGCTGATGGGGGAGGAGGTAACACAGCCCAGTCTTGGGTGCTACCACCTTCAGCCCAAGTTCAAATGGGCTGTGGGGCTCCTGGGGACAGGGCCTGGGCAGTGAGTGGAGGCCTGGGCAGTGAGTGAAGGGCATCCCGCTGTGACGACCCAGCTTCCTAGGGAGGGGCCAGAGAGGGCATCAGTCTCCTTCCCGGTTCTCATTTTGACTTTGTTGGTAGTCCTGGGGGTGGGACTAGGCAAGTGTTCTACCACGGAGCAGAACATTCCCAGTGCTTTTTGTTTTTATTTTGAGACAGGGTCTTGTGAAGTTGCCAAGGCTGGCCTTCCACCTAAGATCCTCCTGTCTCAGCCTCCTGAGAAGCTGGAGTTACAGACCAGCGCCACCCAGTCGAGCCAACCTTCCCTATTCGGGGGGGCCCCCATGGCCCTCACGAGCTGGAGGGAAAGGGGGCTCCTGGAACATGAGGAAGGACACTGGACACAGGGTTAGGATTTGGAGCCCCTGGGCTGCATTTTTCTGGGGGACACGGGGAGATCCCGAGCCCGAGATGATTTATTCTGTGCAATGTTTTGCAAGTCGAGACGCTCATGCCTCCTGTCAGGAGCGCAGCGCACACACAGCGGGGCGTGGGACGGACGGACGGACGTGTGCAGGTACTCACACTGCCGCCGCCCGGGACGTGTTTGATATTATCCTTTGAGCCACACTTGGACTGGACGTTGCTAAGATCCAGCTTCTTATTAATTATCTGCACCTTTGATAGCCAGAAAAAAGGATGAGTGACACACCACACCCAGATCCATCGCTCTGCACCACACACCGGGCCTCCAGGAGGGCGGAGGGAGGCGCCCGGCCACGGGAGCGGCCGTGGGGGGAGGGGCGGGCCAGGGCCACCCCTCCCAAGGGACCGATCTTCAGGAGGAAGGGAAGAGGGGGCTGCCTGCAAGGTCTGGGGAATTGAGCTTGGTGACCGGGATTACAACCAGATCCTCCTGGGGAGGCGGGTATTCACTTTACGGAAGGGTCCTGTGGAGCCCGTGGGGTCCTGAGGCCTGTGAATCAGAGACGGGGGTTCAGCAGATTGGCCTGGAGGAGAAAATGAGCCCAGTCACACTTCAACAAAAAGCCCCGTGTTCCTGTCCACACAGCCCTCCGGAGGGGGACACTGAGAGAATGCACGCGCTGTCCTCTGGCCGGTGGGGGGGGGTGGGCGCTGCGCGCACCCCGAGATTTTCTTTGAAAGAAAACCCCAGACCCTCCCCTGACCTAGGATTCGGTCCCCTGGCGAAGTCTGGCTGAAGTCGCTGCACTTTGGAAACTCCCCTCGTGAATTTCCCACGCCAAGCCTGGGGAGCCCTGGCCTCTGGGTGGCCTGTGAGGAGTCCCCCTCCAGGGAGGGCTCTGTGCCCCCACTGTCCCGCCTCCCACCACCCACCCTCTGCCACCTCCAGCCCACCAGGCGCCTACCAGCGACTGAGCAAGTGTCCCCCCGTGTGTCCCCAGGTGTGACCCTGATGAGGCCCTGAGAGCTGCATTCCCAGGAGCTGGGACTTTGTTGACCAGGGAGACAAGGTGTGGGGACATCATTTTGGTAAAGAACGACTGTTACCCAGTTTGCCCATGAACTAGGCCAGCGGGGTTTCAGGGGAACTGAAACTGGGGCCTGGCTGCGCCACCTTCCTCCCAGGTGTCTTTCCCCAGGAGCCCGCGGTGCCCTGGTTCTTATTAATCACAGATGTAAATAACCACGGCTGCAGCTCCTAATGGAGAGCCAGCAGGGCCAAGCTGGTTTCTGAAAATTTGAAAGCGAAACCCAGTCTGCAGCGGCACCTTTGCGAATACTGTGGACAGGCTGGGACTGGGGTCAGGGTCTGCACTCCCACCTGGTCTCTGACCCATCCTGCTTTTTTTCTTAATTTTCATGGCCTGAATTGTAAAACTTTGGAATCACATATTTAACCTATCTCTTTATTTTCTCTCATCCCCCATGCCCCAGTAGTGGGGACTGAACCCAGGGTTGCTTTACCGCTGAGCTACATCCCAGTGTTTCTTTTTTTTTTTTTTTTTTTCGATCCTCCTGCCTCAGCCTCCCAGGTCATTGGGATTATAGGCATGTATCACTACACCTGGTTTATGTTCCTTTTAAAAAAAAAAAACAAAAAAAAAACCTGTTTTTACATTAGAAAAACACAGCATATGATTTCAAAAATAGAGTTTCGAAAACAAAGCAGCTTTCTTACCAACCAAACAGAATGACTATTGCATTTTGTTCTATTTCCTTGACGTCTTATTTGTAACCACTGCCTTACACATACAAATGGTAGAATTATTGCAAACATACCATTTTGCATCCTGTATTAACATCATACCTTAAGCATTTTTCTTTCTTTCTTTCTTTTTTTTTCTTTTTTTTCTTTTTTTTTTTTTTTTGAGAAGGAGTCTTGTTATGTTGCCCAGGATGGCGAACTCCTGGGCTCAAGCGATCCTCCTGCCTCTGCCTCCCAAGTCTGGGACCACAGGGTACACCAGCATGATTCTTTTTTTTTTTTTGGTACCAGGGATTGAATTCAAAGGCACTCAACCACTGAGCCACATCCCAGCCCTACTTTGTATTTTATTTAGAGACCGGGTCTCACTAAGTTGCTTAGGGTCTTGTCTTTGCTGAGGCTGGCTTTGAGCTCACGATCCTCCTGTCTCAGCCTCCAGAGCCACTGGCATTACAGGCTTGCTCGATGGTGCCTGGCTGCCGGCATGGTTCTTAATACTACATCCTGTTTCATCCTGTGATTGCCGATCCTGTGCTATCCACACGCTGATTTGCATTGATTCCAGTTTAAGTAATAAAAAATTCCTCCTGTGAACATCTCTCTGCAAGGATTTTTTTTCCATATTATGGATTATTTTCATAGCATAGAGTCCTAGAAATAGAATTTGTGGGTCAAAGTTATAAATATTTAAAAAGCCCTCAATACAACTTTCCAAATGGCTTTCTAAAAGGATTAATTTTCTCTGCAACTGCTGTTGAGAAAGCCACCTTTACCATATTTTCACCCACATCAGGTATTTAAAACATTGTTTTGACTCTTACTACTTAATAATTTCCAGACAGGGACATGCCTTTCCAGGTTAAGGGCATAAGCTGGGAGCCAAAGCTTGGGTTTGAATCCTGGTTCGGTAATTTACCTTCGATATCAATTTAACCCCCTTGTGCCTCAGTTTCCACATCTGTAAAATTGGGGTGATAATACCTGCCTCCTAGAGTCTTAGTGAAATGAAGTCAGTTAACTCCCGGAAAACACTGAAAACAGGGCCTGGCACTTATCAACCACCCAGTAAATGGAGGCCGTTGTAATTCTTGTCACCTTGGAATACCTCCAAGTCATAATTATAATGCAAGGTCATAAAAATCGTTCTGCTTCTCTGACCAAAATAAATAACTTCGTTGCTGGCTGATTCTACATTTCTTTCCCAATGAAATCTCTTCTTCACCCCTTGTTGTTGGCAGGTGCCAACAACGCACAAATGTTTTTCTAACACACAAATGTTTACATTTTGATCGATTCAAATTCTTCTTGTATAATTTCTTCTCTGCCGTTAAATGTAAATGTAGAGTTCCTTTCTCACCCACTTCAGCCCTTGTTAGAGACAGGAAGGCCATTAAAGGGGAGTCTTAAGTTGGTCTCTCTGAAGCCAGTGGTGAAGCTAGGCGGGGTGGCACACCTGTAATCCCAGCAGCTAGGGAAGTTGAGGCAGGAGGATCCCAAGTTCAAAGTCAGCCTCAGCTACTTAGCAAGGTGCTAAGCAACTCAGCAAGACCTGGTCTCTAAATAAAATATAAAAAAGGGCTGGGGATGTGGTTCAGTGGTTAAGCATCCCCGGTTCAATCCCTGGTTAAAAAAAAAAAAAAAAAAAACAAGTCAGTGGCAGAAGCCACGTGGAAAGATCCAGGCATCCTTGCAGCCACCAGCCATCCACCAGACAGTTCCTTCTGGCTTGCTCTGGAGCCTATTAACTAGGCAGGCCCTGAACTGCCCTTCTGCCAGGGGGGAGACAGGATGGCTTTGAATGAATTCCTGCCCCCCTCAGACGCTAAGGCATCCCATGTGAATCCCCTCTTTGGGAATCAGTTTTTATTCTTTCATTGGGTAAGTCCTAGAAGCAGATTTCCCCGMTTTCAAAAGGATGTGGAGCAACTTAGAATTAGAAAACACATACTCCATAATAAAGCAAGCAAATTTAAAGGATAATGTTAAAAGGGGAGGTCATCCAGAGTCACAATTACAAGAGTGATAATTATACTTAGCTCTGAGCTTCCTGGAAGCCAAGTCAAAAAAGGAAATATGATGGGTTACGTAACTCTTCTTATGTGACAAAACCAGTTTTTCAAGGAAGATAACCTTGTTTTCTGTACTGATCCACAAAAGAAACTAATCAAATGAACGAAAGGACATTAAGCAATAATGTAAGGTCTGCAACATACATAGAAAAAAAAAATTTTTTTTTTTCCAATGTGGTTTTCTTGTTCCAAGCCCACAAAAATCAGCAACAAACTCTTGTGGGCTTTGGCAATAGACACAAGGATATTTACAAAGCAGACCTGAATTACTGTTAGTCGTCACATTAAGTCAACACCCGTTACAGAATCTAAGATTTACAGAAGGAAGAAAAAGCAGTAATGGCTGGTATTATGAAACTGGAATCAAGAAATTCAATTTCTAAGCTGGAGCAACACGGACATTGTGCCTCAGCCCTGTCTAGACGCTGGAAATGAGAGAACAATGTACTGGAAACTCTGAAGTTTGATCTCAGGGACTCCTCGTCGGGGTGGGGGGATGTCTGTGGTCAGGGTGTAACCCCGGAGGAGAGGCTGCCATGGGTGGGAGCAGGAGTGGGTTTAGTCCGTATCCTGGAAAACCCAAAGCTGCCCAATCCCTCACCGGGCCTTGATCTGGTTCTGTCTGGACTCAGATTTCTTGAGGCTGCTCTCTCCCTGGCCCCAACCCTCCAGGCCTGGGGGCCTGTCCCCAGCAGGGCTCCATGCTTGCTGGGCTGGGGGGGGGGGAGTTAACCCAGACTGCGCTTGTGGATGCCCACAGCAAACCTTGTCTTCAAGTCCAAGGTGAGGGGCTGGGATACAGCTCAGTGGGTAGAGAGCTTGCCTCGCTTGCACAAGGCCCTGGGTTCAATTCCCAGCCCCCAAACAAAAACAAGTCCAAGGTGAGCACCCGGAAATTGACACCGAGAAACCTGTCCGTCTCCTGTCAAGTCAACTGGCCAAAGAGATCAACTAACGGGAGAGCCTCCCTTGGAATTCTTGGCACTCCATCCTTAAACACTGACTACTCCAGGCTCCTTTAGAATTTTTCAGAAGCACACACACTCGGGACCTGAGGACAAGGTCCTCTTTGCTCACTGTGGGGCCTCTGAAATCCTCAGTTCAAGTCACCGGATTCCCAGCCCTGATCCAGGAGAGGCAAACTGCCCCAGGTTCAAATTCACTTTATCCACATCCRTGTTCTGCAAGTTTGTTTTAAAAGGGACGACAGAATTCTGTTAATAAATGGAGTGCATTTAAAACACTTCCATCTCCTGGATGTCAGCAGGGAATGCAAAGGGGTGGAAAGAGAGAGAAACAGATCAGAAGAAGATGAGCAGAGGTGAGTGGCAGAGAGAGACCAAGGATAGAGGAAGGAGAAAAACAAATTAACACAGTTGCCAGAAGGAACAGCCGCGGTGGGTGGGTCCAAGAATGTA